AGACATGGACCTGCATGCTTACTGCAGTGTTAACTGTGACAGCAAAGACAGTCTTTCTGAAAAACCCACTCCTGTAGCAAGGGCGGGTGTTTCAAAGCACTCATGGAGGGTACTCCTGTGTAGCAGTGAAAATGATCTACAGCTGAAATATGTCTACATGGCTGCATCTAAAAACTTTATATAGATAAAAGAACAAGTTTTCAGAAACTCCCTGTGTGTTTTAAAACATTCAAAACGCTGCTCTATATTGCCATATTTAATGAACATCATCAGCGACCAGTGAACACCGAATGCTCAATTCCTTTTTAGCAATTCCTCCTGGAAGGTGAGGCTGAGGGAGCCTTGCCTGCATGGGTGAAAGTGGCCAGCTGAGGTTGGACTCTCTCGCCTCTCTTGTCTAGGTGTGCCACCGGGGAAGCCTGGCAGGATATCATGCTGGCCTGTATGCCAGGCAAGAAGTGTGCCCCCGAGTCTGAGCCCAGCAACAGCACGGAGGGGGAGACGCCCTGTGGTAGCAGCTTTGCTGTCTTCTACTTCATCAGCTTCTACATGCTCTGTGCCTTCCTGGTAAGCTGAGGCGGGCCTCACCAGCACAGAGATGGGGGTGGGCAGTTTCGGGGCAGCGTGGTGTCAGGGCAATCCCAGCAAAAGAGCTGACTTGGGAAGACTGAATTAGTAGAGATATGTCACACCCCTGAGAAGGGCCAGAAGCCTTGATGCAGAGCAACTCAGTCAGACTCCATCTGGTCCATGCATGGCTCTTGTCTGAGTAGCATTGTTCTAGAAGACAGATGTGTGGAAGCTCTGCATGAACTTGTATGTCTCTGATACCTTGCTCGTGAGGGAGGGAAAGGTGACCAGACAAAGCCCCTCTCTGTCCCTAGTAACTTGGTACAAAGGAAGCTGTTCTGTCTACATGTAGGGTTCATCCCTCACAGTGCTCAGGGGAATAGTGTTGAACTCATGTCCGAGAGACCCAAATTCTAGCAGTTGGCATCCTAAATGCTAACATATTGCTGATATGTAGAAATGTTAGCTTATGACTTGCCTGGGCACTGACTGGTGAAGTAGGCTTGGGCAGCAAATGTGTAAGTTTTGGCAAGCCTCTTAGAGTACCAACTGTTTCCTGCAGATCATCAACCTCTTCGTAGCCGTTATCATGGACAACTTTGACTACCTGACGAGGGATTGGTCTATCCTTGGCCCCCATCATCTGGATGAATTCAAAAGGATCTGGGCCGAGTATGACCCTGAAGCCAAGTAAGTTCCTAGAGGGAGACCCCCAACCCCCCAAGCTGAGAGGGGGTTTAATGACCTGTAGAAGAGACCCAGGACGGGTCAACATTGCGTGTACTAACTGAAAACCCTGAAATGTATCAGACCCAGAGTGAAGGGTCAAGGGCCAGCAAGAGGAGACCAAGTACCATTCACAAAGCTGGGGACCATATCAGTTGAATGGAAAAGTAAGACTCTAGTGTCAGATGAAACTAGTAACACTTACATTGGGTCATTTAGGGCTAGGTAGACTTCAGCTCCACCTTGACCTCAGGTTTGTGGAAATTCTCTTCTACCCATAACTGTTATCTGACTATCCCTAAATGCCTTCTGGCCAAATGGTTAGTCGATTGAGCAAAAATGCATACTGGGATTTAATTGCACTTCCAGAATCCCTTCTACCTGGAGCACAATGCTAGCAAACCTCTTCTGTGATGAAAACTGTAACATGCATCCTGGGTCTGCAGTGATATCATGTGTCTCTGCACTGCTCAGGGTCTTCGGGCAGCCCTGCAGGGAATGTCCCTACATCTGGTCTCACCCCAGTACTTGAGTCCTGGCCTTCTGATGGCCTTTCCTTCTCGCCTTCCTTCTCTAGGGGTCGGATCAAACACTTGGATGTGGTGACCCTCCTCCGTCGAATTCAGCCCCCCTTGGGTTTTGGGAAGTTGTGTCCTCACCGTGTGGCCTGCAAAGTAAGAAATGGTCTGGGTTCCTTGGGGGGAAGGGATAAATATGGAATGCTAGATAGCTGTTTGTCTTTGTGATTATTAAGGGAATAAAGATATTTTAGGTATTTAAAGAAACAAATGTGAGCCAGTTTCTATTTTAAGGACCCTTCAAGATCCAAAGTCCCAAGGCTATAAAAGAACAACATCACAGTGAATATCTTGTGTTCCAGTGAGGGAAACAGACATCCTAACTAAATAAAGGGTTTATTCAGCCATCAGACTGTATGGCCCAGGTATCAGGTGACCCTCCTCACCTAGGGTGATGGGTTAGAAACTTTGACATGAAGTCCGAAAACCATTAGAGAGGCCACAGGTGATGTCTCATCACCAAAATACAAACTACCAAAATACAAAATACCCAGACAAGGATCTGCCATTTTTATCAAATTCCTAAGTGAATCTGTGATCCAAAACTGGTTGGGACAAACACATTAGGCTCTGATAAACACAGCCTCTGATTGACCTTGAGAGTAGGGACCCTTAATACCTGCTCTAGATCCTGCCATGTGGCCCAGTAACTGCTGAGAAGCACACCCTCCCCCATCCTCCCCATCTGTGCTTCCAGAGAGAATCCTGATGAGCTCAGAAAGAGCTGGGCAACGCAATGGCAGAGAGCCTGGCCATATAGAGGAAGAAACACCAACAGCCAATGATTGAACTCCTCGGATAATCCATTCATGGACAACAGAGTTTAGGAAGCCTGGCACTTTTATTTATGCTCTGTGGTAGTCAGATTTCCCTCATCAGTACCCCCACTTTATTCCAAAAAGAACTTCAGGAGATTTCCAGTGATCCTGAAAATATGAGAAAGGGGAACCGTCTGTCATTCTGCTTTCTGGTGCTGTAACAAATATCTGAGTTGCTCAACCTGTAAACAAGTTTCTTTTGGCTCACAGTTTTGGAGGCTTCAGTCTGTGATCACTCAGGCCTGTGCTTCAGGTCTGTGGCAGCTTTGGAATGTGGAGTTGTGGAAGAGGACCACTCACCTCAGGGCCTCTTTACCTCAGAAGCAGAGAGGGAGAAAGAGAGACAAAGATCCCAATACCCTGCTCAAGGGCATGGTTTCCTGTAGCTTCTTCCTGCTAAGCCCCACATACTGAAGGGTCCACCACTTCCCAAGAGTACTGAGGCTGGAAACTGAGCCTTTATGGCATGGCCTTTGAGTAACAACATTTGAGATTCAAGCTGTAAGAAGTACCAATCAAATGTAAGATCAAACAGTCCGTAGGGAACTGGAGTGTACAGGTCATGACCTCTACATGGGCCTGTTAGGGCCAAGAGCCAGGACTGAAGCTTTCTAACTTGGTGTCTACAAGAATCAAAGTGATGCATTCACTCAGGAGAAGTACAACCCTTGGCAAAATATCCCCAGGAAGACCCCATGTGGTCTGAGGGGTGACATCACTGCCATCCACAGTGGGCATCATAGCTCTCTTTCTTCCTATGGTCCCTGTGTGCTGCTGGCTCACCAAGGGAGGAGAAGGCCAAGGGAGCATGTTTTGGGGGTGGAGAGCAACGAAACCCTGTTTGGGTGAGTGAATTTGGGATCAGGACTGAAGTAGAGATGAATGTGTCTATATGCAGAGAAAGGGTACTCTATCCTCATAGAGCTGCCTCATAGTCCTTTTCTTTGGAGTTGGATAATTCTGTCTGGAAGGCAGGTGGCTGTTCTTACTGCTCTTAGAGAGCATAACTGTGTCTGTAGTCCTGAGCACAGGGCAGGAAAGAGCCCTTGTGAAAGCAAGGGTCTAAGGAAGGTAGAGAGGGCCAGGAGTATTTACACAAAGCCTAGTTTCTCCCTGGAAAAGCTTTGAAAACATTCTGGTGACCACATGCAAACCCCTCCCATTCCCAACCGCACCCATCCAGGTTTCTAGGGACGTCCCAACCTCCCTGCCACAATGGTTGTGCAGAGCCTCTAAGAACCGCCTGTCCTTGTCACTGATTGAGTCTCCTTTTCCCTCCAGCGCCTGGTGTCCATGAACATGCCTCTGAACAGCGATGGGACGGTCATGTTCAATGCTACCCTGTTTGCCCTAGTCAGAACAGCCCTGAGGATCAAAACAGAAGGTAATGGCTCTCATAGACCACTGGTGGGAGGGTGCCAAGGAAGGTCTAGCATCCCCACTGCAAAGATGTGTCTGCCTACACAGCATTAGTGCAGTATAACATGGACAGCCTGTACTCTGACTCTCCGAGAGGTGCATCACGCTTACATTTTCTTTGGTTCCTAAATGGCCCCCTTGCCATAGCTTATTTATTTTGAACTTTTCTCTTCCATCAAACCCTAGAAATTGCCCTGGTAGCCTCCTGAGGACTGAATGTTTAAAGCAAGACACAGAAGAGATGGTTGTTACACAGAGCAGGACAAGCTCCATACCAATGGACTTGTATTAGCAGCAGGCATGTCTCCCAAATAGTCAGTTCTCTTTTGAAGTTAAAAGGACCTGCATTGGGAAGGTGACAGTGACAAGCAGTGCCTGTGGTAAATAGAGGTCATTGCCTGCAGTGGCTGAGGGTTACAATCCCATGTGTGCTACACTACTCAGGCTGTACCCCCTCAGTCTGCTCACAATAGAGGAGCCAAGAGCTGCCCTGTGGGTTAGAAGCAGTCCTGGCGAAGGCGTCTGTTGTCATGTCACTGAGAAGTACTTTGAACTGCTCTGGGATAGGCTTTGTGGACACACCCCAGAAGACGCTGCTGCTCCCCAAGACCCAGCTTAAGTGCCTCTTAAGCGTGTGGTCAGAGAACAAGCCTCAGAACCATGAGCTGCTGGAAAGGCTAACTCTAAGCACACGCTGCATCTGTGACTCCACGTGTCTGAGCTTGGGAACCTGCATTTAGAGAGAGCTGCATAGACTTCTCGTGTATGAACTAAAGTTTGACACCACGAGTACAACCTGAGAGCCCCAGGCTTCCAGCCAGTGTCCTTGGTGCGGTGGAAGGGCACTGGGCATCACACACGACAGGGCACAGCATGTGTAACTACTTACGGCCCTGCTGCACTTTCCATCTTGTGAAATAATGAGAGTCGGCGGCATCTGGCATTTACTTCACAGGGTCTCCCAGAGAGCTGCCTTCTTTAGTTGCATTCTTCCAGAAAGTAACAGACATGAAAGAACCAAGAACCAATCCTGCAAGAGATAGGGCAGGGAGACAGGTCAGCCAACCTTTGCAAAATAAAAATGGATCAAATTCTCCCGGTAAACTAAAAAGAAAGGAAAGGGGAGGCGGGGAATGCCATTAGCAGTTAGTGCAAAACTTGAATCTAGGGTAGGTATAAATAGGCCTAATGAGAGATTTTGATGAGAGGGAATTCAATACACACTTAATGCACATGTGTACATAACAGACAAAACTAGAAGAATGTCTGCTGACATATTAATACTAATATTGAATATCACTGTGTAACGGAGCCTTTTTTCAGCTCCGGCCTTTCCAAATTTTCTACAGTAAATATTATTTCCTTTCTCTTCCAAGGGAAGGGCTTCCTTTTCCAAGGAGAAAAGACAGAATGACTACTAGAAGGGATGTGTTGTGATACTTAAAGCTTACTATGAATTAATAATGCAGGTTTTGGCTCCAGGAAGGACTAAAAAGCACTTGTGCATGGAAGCCAAGATTTAGCGGTGCTGAAGATGCACTGCGCAGGCAAAGCAGATCTCAGTGAAATAACGCCAGCACCAGAGGGGCTGCCAAACGCTCCATCACAGAGAACCGCTGTCGGCAAATGGGAATTCCTGGGGAGAGAAGCCAGCCAGTGGGACACACAGTTAATTAAGAATTAAAGATAAACTCTTAAATATAAAGGCTCTTGGGAACAGCCACCACGGGCATTTAATTCCCCAGTATTCGAGGCCGAGCCTTCATCCAAAACAGGCCTTCTATGAACTTGTTACATAAGACCAGAGTCAATACCACACTCAGACAAGAAATGGGGGGAAAACACCAACATTTATCGGGATAAGGCTGATCAGTCTTCACTTGCCCTTCAAGCATTTGTAAAAAGCGAAAGTAACTAGAAAAAAAATATCATGTACCTTGAGGACCAGAAACCTCATCCCAAGCCAAGTATCAAGCTGAATAAGATTTTTTATTGGAACACTAAAAGAAAAAGATACTAACTTTAAATTAGGGATTGGAATGTAGTGGTAGAGAAGGTGCCTAGCATGCACAAGGCCCAAGATTCAGACCCCAGCACTGAAAACAGAACAATAAAAATAAAGTGTAGACAATATGAAACAATTACTGGTGAAATTCCACAGTTACATTGGGTTGTTATTGAAATAAAAGAAGGCCTAAAAATGTGTAGGATCCTTTGGAATATACATTTGTTCTGTAGGTCTGACTAAATGATCACAAATTTGGTTCCTCTCACAATTTAAGAGAGGAACCATCCAAAGTAAGGTGTTAGCAGGCTGGTTCTTTCTGGAGGCCTTGGGAGAGAATGGGTTTCACATCTCTCTCTGTTGCTGGAGAGCTTCTCTCCAGGTTCCACCAAGCCCCGCAGTCCCACAATCCACGTATAAAATAATCACTCAGACGCTTATATTACTCTTCAACCACATCAAAGACCTGAGAAGGAACATAATGGTACCTGAGAAATGGTAGATGGATGCAAGCAACTTTCAGGAATCTTGCAAGAGTAGACCAAGACAGCTGGCAGCCTGGACAGTCACCTAATGTGTCCTAATGTGTTGGTGCATTCAAATTGGCTACAGGCCTAGAGTATCTGACAGACCATTTT